TCCTTTTTCATAAATTAAAAAATTTTTTTAAACATTCGTGACCTTTCGCGTACGATTTTTTAATTCAGCAAAGAGACGTCTTTCTGTCCCTGCCTCTCCCTCTTTCTTTCAAGCCTTCTTTGAGTTAATACAGAAGGCGATGGAGATTAGCGGAAAATTTATGATCGCGGGAAGTTGGATAAATTTACCTGTCTCCCAACTGACTTCCTGCGTAGACTCCGCTTCCGCTTCCTCCACCGGGTCTATCGCCGTTTCCGATGGAACCTGGAGGCCGACCTTGCGTTTGCCATCCGTATCTGAAAGGAAACTTTGCGTTTCCTAAAATATTTTCATACGTGACAGATAACTTTTATCATTACCTATCAATGGGTTGACGCTCGTTATGGGAGGAATACCGTCCGGTCTCTGAAGAAATCCTGTTGTAATTATAATCCGGTCGTGCAAATCCGCTGGAACTGTACTTAGAACTGCAGCAGCTGGAACTTGCAAATAAAAATATTTCAAATAATTCGCGTTGTTGACGAGCTGTCATTAAATTGTTTTTATTGTTACGTTTTAAGTTTAAGATTAACGTTTAAAAAGAAAAAACTACGATCAAATCGAAAATATATTGACTTATCTCTTTCGAGACTCGAGTCGCGATGTAAAACGGTTCTCGGTTTCTTGTCCGTTTTTTTTGTTCCTTCGTCGTCGATGTTATCCAGAGCAAGCTCCGACAAGTTTTTACCACGAATGGCATTTGCCAAGAATTTGTCTTCCGAATTGGAGAGGTTCTTTGAATTTTCGTTCGTCGTCGTATTATCACTTTTCTCCGCTAACGTACAACAAACACCGAAGATGATAGAGAGAATTAGAACGTGCGCCATTGTCGCGAGCATTTCACTTGCTGTCCGAGTTCAAAATGTTCCGGATATCGAGTATCAAGTACTATACGCGAGTAGTTCCGATGTTGCAAGAAGTCCGACGAGCATTCGTTCTAACACAAAAGTGGCTCTCTAATTTCTCAAGTTTCACCTATTTATATAGTGGTCATGCATGGGATGCTGTCGCGTATTCACCCCTCAGGGACGAATCCAAAACTTTCCTGCGGTAAAATCTACAAAATATAGCAAAGCAAAAGTTCCTCTCTTTCCGTTTTTCTTCTCTCTACATTTTTTAGCATTTTTTTTTTCTTAGTAATGGGTTTTACTCGAAAACTTTATAGAAGTCTATTACTTAGGCAGGTTTCATTTATATATTTGTTTAATGATCGTTTTATTACTATTATTATTATCTATTGCACAACGTCCGTTTATTGTAAATAACTGTAGTTATTTATAAAAATTAAAAATGCAATAAAATAATTTAGATGGAGCAAAGCATTTAGTTATTGTAATATTTTATTTGTTTCCAATAAACAATCTTATCAGATGTCCAATGTTTATTAGAAATAAGTAAAATGTTACAATAACTAAATGTTGGTTCAACTAAATTATTTTATTGCATTAACCAAGAATTTGTTTGCCCATGTATCCAAACAAGAAATTAATTGATTCAAATGGGTTTTTTAGTGTACGTATTATATATACTTTTTATTTATTTCATATTTAAGTTAAAAGATACAACATAATTTTTATAGATGTGTAGATAACTACAGTTATTTACAATAAACGGATGTTGTGCAATAAATAATAATAATAGTAATAAAGCGATGCATTAAAGTTCATATTTAATGCAAACTATATAAAAATAGGTAATAATATAAAAGTGTTTGCGAATAGATTACAATAATTATAAATATTTATTACAGCAATTAGAAACAAAATGAAATAATGAGGTATTTATTCTGACTAACGATTTGATAATTTCTACTTTTATTCTTGCTGCATAACATAAGTGATTGCAGAACATGTAATTTTTACATAAAATAATACTATAATGGCTGCGTCCCTGAAGTTACAAAGTGTGACCAAATGTCAAGTAGTAGAGGAGCGCTAGCGAAAATAAAAGTGTCGCGAATGAGTCAACAATTGTCACGCCAACACATTAATTAAGATTTCCCATCGTTATTGTTTTCATCATTTACTTGCGAAATTCGACAGATTCGTGAGACGGGATTACACCATCTATCTCGCGCCTTGAGTTATATACTTACGTTTCGTTTTGACCCTTTTTTTAAGAAACCCATTCAATTCAGGCAACTTTCTCTCTTATAATGAATGCTCAATTAATTTTATTTTTGCGGAAATATATTATAAAACTCGAATAATTCTTCTTCCGTTTTTTTTTTTACTTTCCCTTTATATTCGCTACGGTTCTTGCCCTTTCCGCATCACGAAAGTCTACTTCTCTTTCTGTCGGTGAAAATTTAATATATTTATAATCTCAATTTCTTTTAATTTTTCCGATATGCTTTGCGAGAGAGCGAGAGAAAATTGAGACGACCTTTACGACAAGAAATCTGGTCCACGAGAAATAAATTTAAGAGCTAGTAAATAAAGAACAACTAGATCTGAAATATTTCGTCGGATTGACGATTTTCAATTTCCCTCTGTTTCATTCCTTTAACGAATTTTGCCATTGCGAAATGTGAATAGGACAATCTGTTCCGCCGTGGAAGTCGCTAGTGTGACCAATGACTGAAATTATGCGAATACACCAACGATGTTTTTAGTCCTTGTTATACCTCGTACTACGAAACAGTGAACAAATCCTCGGTTCACGATATCGAAGATGTCCTTGTAAAACGACAATAATAGTACAGATTATTACATTTGTGTCACGTTTCTTCAACGTTCATAATTATCATTATAACGATCGTAGGTAATAGCCAAGTTGATTGCTAATCAATTATCTTTTTATCGTTTCGTTATTTGTAATTCTAAGACCTGAACAATCCTAAGGCTTTATAATCCTGAGAAACATTACAAATTTGAAACAGAGAGAGGGGCGTTTCCTCGACCCTCTACACGCGAGCGTTCGAGCATGACGGAAAAGCGCGCGTACATCGACAATTGTGTCGAGTACGGATATTCGATCAACCGCAGAAAGCGGAACGAGACACGAGCATTAATTTAAGAACCGACGACCCCCGCGAGGGCCGGCAAGTTACGATGAAAGAGAGAACTCGATTCTATTCCGTGGATGCTGGGGACGGGACATTAGGGGCCTAATTTAAAGAAAAGAGGGGGATGGCCGCCGCTCGTTAGGACGGGGGTATTCCCGAGTGGGAACAGGATGGGGACACAGAAAGAGAGAGAGAGAGAGAGAGAGAGAGGAACGGGACTGGGGTGGCCCGGAGAAGATACGGGAGATCGCGGAACGGAGCGAGAGCATAATCAATACGCATTCACACGCGGTGTCTCGTGTTCCCCGGTTTCCATGGGAACTGACGCCCACGCATGCGTCGGTCTAGCAACGCCGCTGTATCAACGAGATCGTCTGGAGGTCCAAATCAGTCTCGCGCCAACCATTCCGTGCATGAGAGACCACCGTTGCCGATCAGCAACGGCAATTGGCAAAATCATAAAGGAAATTGTGTCGTATCTGTAAGGCTGGTATTCATAGTCGACTCTTATATTTGAGATTGCTTTAAGTACAGTCTCAAGATGTCATAAGCCAATCAGAGGGCCACATTAGCATCTTAGGACATTACTTAAGACGATCTTAAAATAAGAACCGGCAAGAACTATGAATACCGGCCTAAGATGATGCGATCGTACCAGCGATCTCAAGATACACTTTTACACATCGCAATTCTGCTCCTAAATTGATTTCAATATCTCTCATAATTTCATTAAATGATGAAGCATTTCGCCGATATCAAATGTATGTGCCGAAGGAGTAGAATGAACGTAGTACAGACCGGTACACAAGCGCCATGTATAATACGTTAACCATTACAATAGCTTTACATTTATATAATAATAAAAAAAAAAAAACATTAAAGAGAAACAAAATGCAATTTTCTGTATTTCCACCACGAACAGATTGATGGACTCTTCCGTTAAACATGGATATAGAAACATAGTCTAGAAAGAGGCAGGTATTCAGCCCTTAACCGCTGTGATATCTGCAGCTACTTCAGGAACGATCGGCGTCTCCGGAGTCTGAAGGACGATCAACCAAACCGTGCGGGATTATTCCCCCGACGACGGTCATCCTGGTCCCTCTATCGCCGTCATTCGGGGGTTCAGCCGTAGCGTCCATCCGACGGATGTACGTTCAACCAGCCTCTCTCCCTCCGTTCCGGCTCGGCCACCCTTTTGACGGTACGCGGAGTCGCTGCGACGAAGGGGAAGAGGGTTGCTCGTTGCGGCGCGCCTGCGTCGAGTCCCCAATGACGACTCGGCTAGGTAGGTGCTCGACCCGGACGCAGTTGGGAGAAAACAAGCGGTAGACTGCCGCCGTTCGCCCGCGTAACGTGGGCTTTTTTCCCTCGAGTTTCGGTGAGTAAGAGAGATCGCGCGGCGCGAACGAGAGAGGGTAACGAGCCGAGGTTGTAGCGCGGTTCTCGATGGTCATGGTGCGAAGGTGAAGGTGCGGTGAAATCGCTCGAGGTGAAACTCGAACGATGGTGATGCGAGGCTCGGGCGTAGCGGATATAATAGCGCGAAAAAAAAAAAAAAAAACTGACGTTCGATAATATAGCGCGTTAGGTTCGTTGAACCTTTCGTGGATCTGCGGGTGTTGCGGTTGATGCGACTCGAGTATACACTTGAGAGCGTGCTGGATCCACGGCCGCCGCTGCGGAGGATGATGATGCGCTTCAACTAATTACGCGCGAATTCCGTATTCTACGTATCGAATCACCGTCGATTCTTCATATAAGCGTTGTATTGTTATTATTATTGCGCCGTGACAGTCGCGAAAAGAACTGTTGTTGCTGTGCCCCTTTAATTTCTAGAGACTGTCCTCGATATTTCTGTCCATTTGCGTCTATGTGCGTCTTGCGTGTGTCGTGTTGTTTCCGGTGCAGCTGGATGTGGCGCCGAGAAAAATTACGGTAGATGCATGTTTGAAATAAAAGAAAAGAGAGTACATTGGTCTTTATATAGTGCACTGTGTTGAGGTTTTTAAATCGCCGATTGCATGTGGGTCACGAGTTGCATTCGTTCCAGCTAATGAGATAGAAGATTCGCCGAGCTAAGAGGTAAGCCTGTTAACTGGCGTTACTGATGGAAAAAGTTATTGTTGATGCAAAAAAGCGATCCGAAGAACACGTTGGAGTTGAATTAATATATAAAAAAAAAATTTATCAGCGAATTAATTAATCCTGTTAACATAAGACAAAGCTAATCAGATCAACTTTTTGGTTCTTAATTTTCAGATTGATCTAATGAAAAACTGTAAAATTATGCAGAATAATTATATTTGTTAGAATTCGAAGAAACTTACCACAGTTTAAATGCACTGAGTCTGTTTTACTCTAAACGAAAAAAAGACCTTCGAAAAAATTTATTGGTCGAAGGAAATATACTATAATTAATTTTAATTGACATGATTGATAGCGTCATTCGTAATTTTTATTTTAAATAATTATTTATTGATGTAAAATATGTATTTTTTTTAACGTTGATTTGAATATTAATTACGTAAAATAAATCCCAGCAGTGAGGAATTTTAATAAAGCAAAAACCATCGTAGACAGTTACATTTTTATCAAAGGGATAAAAGTCACGTGGCTATAGTAGGTGTCTGCAATTTATCGTATCCTTAACCTCGTAGAAAATCAATGTTCTTCACATACCTTTGCAAACTGTATGTTCCAAATTATGATGTTACACAGTTTAATCATCTTCATTTACAAATAATAAATGAAATAAATAAGGAATTCTCAGAACAACGCAAGGTCCAAAATCGTTTTTAAAAATGTCTTATGTCCCAATTTTGGATTTTATGTTGTCCAAGTTCATAATCTCTCTTTCCTTATAGAGAGAAACATAATGCTTTGTTAAAAAAAAACTGCTTTTGTCAGTAGTAGATATAAATAATAAATAGAAAATATATGACAAATATATATTTATTTCATTTTCATATTAATGTTTATATCGAAATCATTCCGTAAGAGTTGATTTTGCAATTTCTGTATAGTCCGCGCGTTCGCTACTTGAAATTTAAATAAAGCACTAACTATAGATGAGCGTCCCTTAAGATATGCAGGATTAAAGGATGTTCTTTCCGGCACAAAGGGATCGGTAATGAGTACTACCACAGTGTTTGCACAAGAATCGCGCTTCTTTTACCCATGGTCCATCGTGGGTTGCTTGTAATGCAGGGGCGCTCGTCTTGCCAAATTGTTTAAAGGAAAACGCGTTTAATGTAAATGTAAATGGTTTCTAAAATAAATTCGATAGAGAAATACTGGTAATGGAGTACAATTCATATTACAATTTTAGGAGATACAAATTTCAATAATTGACCAACATAAATTAAATTTTATTTTCTATTCATGATTAGCCATATAATTTCTCTCCTTGGAATCTTCTATTTTATCTTGCGAAGTATTATAAAAAAAATAATACTTTTTATGTGTTAATCTACAATTTATGCAATGCAATATATTTGATATATCAATATTATACAAATTTTTTTTATAATTATGATCGGCTCTGCATTTGTTAAATTTAAATTGTTTAAGTACTGTAGAATATTCTATATTTTCTGATCAAGCGACGCGGTAGCGGCGCGACGCCAAGTATATAAATATATAGTTTATAACAGGCCGCTTGACCGCTTGATGTGTAAACGTCATTGTGCATATACATATTTATGCCGTTACCAAATTCGCGACGCTATCACTAGCTTCTTTGTTTTCTCTGGAATTTTGACATTAACAAACTTTAGATTAAAATATTATTCAGAAACTAAAGCCGCAATCAAGAATCTAAAAACACTTTTATGATATAATATCATCGGTATCTTTCGATTACGACCAGTTCGAGTAAAATTGGTGCAGCCGATATCGAGATTTGGAGATCGTTCCTCGAAAAGGGACATTTCAGCTTTTCAAATTTTTTTCAGTCCTACGTGCGATACATACACGCCAAGTTTTTTTCTTTACTATAATCCAGTTGACAATTTTACTTACTTTTAGTCTATCTTATTTGTCTCGCGTGAAATACTTGGCTAATTACATTTATTTCATATCCGTTTTTGATTAAGAGAGAAGAATGTATTCAACACCTTTTTTCGTGCACTTGGAGTAATTTTTTTCTTTTTTTAAAAAGGTTTTTTATTTCTCGAAAAATATGATATCGACCATCTGCCAACTTCGTCTCCAAGACATCCGATGTGTAAAGGCTCGACTAGATTTTGATCCCCAACTCTCCCTCCTACTAACTCCTTAACTTAAATCTCACGAGGGTACGACGCCATAGAAAAGGGAGTAAATCGTGCGTCTTCCATGCTGCTGCTATCCGCGTGATTCTCGAATCCGAACTGTTCTTTTTGCAGCTGCGGTGTTGTTCCTCATCAAGGATTATAGGGTATTCTCAATTGTATAATGGTGGTGTGGCACATCTCTTGTGACAAGGGACGCATTCCTTCCGTGACAATTTCGTCATTATTTCCAGATATTATACGTTTATTATACTTTCAAGGTACTTTTTCAAATATTGTGGATTGTCGATACTATAAATTCACAGGGCACTTGGACCTCTATTGATATTGAAACCGTCCAATGTAATTATTAATTTATATAATTATTTACAGATTTTTAATTTTGTAACGTGTCGTATCTCTGACCTTCATCACGTATTATATGAGATATTAAGATTCGGTTCACCAATGTAAGAAAAAGATAAATAGTAAGTTACATTGAAATTAATGTTAATCTTATATTGATAAAACTGGGCTTTAATATATCATTTAATATGCGATGAAGGTCAGATAGCCGCATTTAGAAACAATTCCGGAGTTGATTAAAAACCGTGGCCTTTATACATTTCTTTCTTCGTTCATATTTATAATTACTTAAATCTAAAAATTAACTCAGTTCATTTTATGTAAATATTGAAGACAAACTTTTTAAAACAATTAATTTCTAATTAGTGAATATACAATTTCTATTCTATAAAAGATATTTTTATTCTTCAAATATTTTGGGAATGAAATCTCACTTCAAAAGAGTGTAAATATGTATATAATGCCACTATTGAAAAAGAGTGAAAATATTTGCATTCTTGAAAAAGAGTGACAGATTTTCACCCTTTTAAAGTGACATTCACTGTAAAGGTATAAAATGAGATATAAAACCTCATTTCTTTTTTGGAAAGAATCTCATTCCAAAAGCATGAAATCTCATTTTAAAATCTACCACTCATTCAAAAGTACAAATGTTTGAGTACAAAATCGATGAGCATTTGAAACTGAGATTTTGACATTCGAACATCCCGGATTTTTCCGAGGGGAAAAGATCTTCGAGCATTTTGCGTATCGTAAATCTCAAAGTTGAGCCCGTGAAATCGTTGAAAAATTGCTACGGCGCGCGTTTAATCCTGGCTTTTGGGTCGAACGTTTTTTACTGAGAGGGTGCAAAGGCCGATACGGCTCGTACTAAAATCTGCGGACGGGACATTATCGCTCGGCATTCTCTCTCCCGGAAGCCGATGGAATCCATCGATATAGTTCAGATACGTGTGTGCAGCTGTTGTAAAATCCTTACCAGTGATCGCGCGTTTCGTCTATACATTCCATATTTGAGATCTTATGACGGGAAACTATAGAAAAGAAATGGCGCATCTCACCAATTTGTTGAGAAATAATAAATTCGAGATAAAAATAAATTCGTACGTTTCAATAAACATTGAAATAACTTTTTATCTCCGTTTATTACGCTTTGATGACAAAAGCACTTTTGATAATAAGGCCTAGTCCAGAACCTTGCTTTAAGAGACAGTAAGTTGTAAAGCTGTAAGAAATTGATCAATCACATGGTCGATTATTTTTCTCATATTCGATTTGTGATTAGTCAATTTTTTAGAACTAAACCTAACAGTTATAACGATACTAATTAAATTATCTAATATTTGTAAGAATTTGCGTAAATTTGTCTTTCTTTATATACGCATGTAAGCTTTGATTATTCTAAAAAAGATTATTATAAACAAGGAAAGATTCGCATTTTTTAAAGTAAATCAAGAATAAGATAATGTTAACAACAGTTTAGTCAATTAAAAAAAATTCATTGTAATATATGGGAATTTGAAATTTATTCTTTCTCTGTGCATTTTTTCCGAAAATCTGTAGAATTTTGAATTCTATAGAAAATGATGGCGAATGTTTTTTTCACTTTTCTGTAGAATCGAAGAAGAGTTTGCATAAAGAAAGAGTAAAAATATTAAACTGCATTTGACAAGACATTTTTTAATTGACCATACTGTTGTCATTAACATTATCTTACACTTTATAAAGTATATTAATTCTCGATCCTTTCGCTGGTAAGTGGATTCGCTTGAATAATACAATTAATTGCAGAAAGATCGACAATTGTATTGCGGTGTCTATACCTCAAAACGTACTACTTCGCAAGAGACGTATATTTGCGTACGCGTGTTCGGGACGCGTGAGGGTGCATTCGTTTACCCGAAACTCGATTTCACAGCTGCCTCGTAATTGAATTTCGAGTGCCGGCGCCGGATATGGGCGTGGGTGGAAACTCATAAGGCCAATGTCGAAGGCCGAGCTCGGCTTCTTCGAGTAATTGGATTTTATAGGTTGGCGCGCGATGGACCGATCGTTAGACATCGAGACACATGCACTTGGGACAAAGCACAGCATTTTTATTTAATTGATCATTTATTGGAAAATATAAAGTATGTATATATTATGTACATAGAGTAGCATTTTCTTCTTATAATATAAATGTGTTAAAAATCCCATTGAGATTTCCTCGAGCTCTCGAGGAGGTTGTTGATAAATCGAGTGAAGAAAACTAGGGATGCGAAAATAGATTATCTTGAAACAGATGTGCGAGGTGTGTTACTAATGCAACAGCGCCAAGGGAATACGAGCTAGCCAATGATGGTCAGTGGCAACCCCTCGCTTTTTAGGGGACTACCTAAAAATCGCTGCACCTGACGCTATAGTTCTCCTTGGAATCCAATCAATATTTTATTTCCTGAAAATTTGGCTGAAAATTGCCACTTATCGCTCCATAAAATCGTATCATTGCATAACGTTTATCGATGTACTTTCCAGACAGCTTCGATTAATCATCTGTCTCAATCGGTAAATATTTAAATTCGCATTATGCATTCTCTACGAAAACTCACATCTCTTAGATTATTAAAAATTGTGTGCGTATTTAGATAATAAAACTTCATATCGGAAAGCCATTTATAATTTTTATAATTAGTCAAACATTGAAGTAATAAAGAATGTAGTTTAGCATTATTATATAAATGCTTCGAGGCACTTAATTGATCAATCAGAAGAAAGAATTGCACTAATTAATCGAGCAAAGAATATTTCAAAGCATTAATTAGCATGAAGTGGATCATAGTAAAAAAGTAGCTAAAAGAAATATACTCATCACGAAGATGAAAACAAATAGCAATTAATTTATTTGTTCTCTAAA